ACAGGTGAGCAGTCGTTTTCTCGGAAGAAAGGTAGGGAAATGGAGTTAGTTTATTTCTGTATGGGTGTATGTATAGTAGTATGTAAAACATTTCCAGAGTGTGGCTAACGACTCCGGCAGATCTGACTATAACAGCTTAACTAAAAGGAGAGAACCAAAAGGGCACACAGACACGGGAGCACCCTGAAACAATCTGGCATTCCTCCGCTCCACCGTCCACAAACCTGAGTGATCGCGTGTGAGCGGCGGGACGACAGCACCAGCGTCTGTATCATTGAATAATGTAATAGTTTAATGCAATATCCTGAAATAATAATAATAATAATAATAATAATAATAATAAAAAAATAGAAGGCTCATTTTATAGCTCCAACATGTAACTCTGCATGTTACTGAGTGGCAAGGGCCCCAACCTTGCCACTCAGTAAAGTATTAGCAGTAGCAGTAATACAAACCAATTAGCATGCAGTAGCAGTAATGCCAACCAATCAGCGCTCAGTAGCATAGCGCTAGCATCCTATTGCCTGTTTGCTGTATAAAAATGCAGTTAGGGTTTACCAGTTTTATCTGCTTTTTGAGTGCAATACATCCTGTTTTCTAAAAAGGAAGGTAGGTTCTGGACAAGTGGTTAGAAATTACTTTAAATTTAAAAAAAACTTTAAATTAAATGTTTAGCTCCACTCACCCCCATTCATTGAGGACTCTCTCGTGGGCGCCCTCTGGCATTTTGCTGACATGTTTTTGATATAACGGGAGAAATATGAAGTGGCCAGGCTCCCATTAAACCAGCTCCGATTGTGGATTGAGCTCGTTTCTTGTGGTGGCGTTTGATGCACTAAAGTGTGCCCTCTTCTGGACACTCTGGTTACTGCGCACATACTGTAGAAAAGTGACACAAGGCTATCAGCCACAGTGAATGATTAGCCATTTAGGTATGTTGGCTGTGCTATAAAGTTGATAAATTGACAGACAAATATTGTGGCACAATAATAACAATGACAATTTATTTCAATATTTAAAAAAAAAGTTTCAAGTGCAAAAGCTCTCATTTTTTTCCACTGAGGGCTACATCCTAAACATAAGGATAAAGATCTCACCAGCTGAATCATCTGAACTCATATGTGGAGTCTCACATTCAACCTCAATCTTCAGTCATCTATTAGTTATTTATTCTACATGTTCACATCGTTACTGTGAATGAACTACTAAGAGTGCACTACTCTCATAACTCTGATATTTCTCTTTCCACGGCTAATCATGTACAAAAAATGAATATCTAACTTAAAACATCTGCCAAGAAATGGACGGGAAATTTCCAGTTGGGGAACTGGATTTATCTGAATTTCCTAAATCGACTGGAGTGAAATTTAACCTCAGCCGTGATGGCAGAAATATCCCACCCTTTCTGTTAGTTCAAAGCACTGAAGAGCTGAAGTGTTTCACCACTGAGCTGCATTAGATCAAAGATCTCAAAGAAAGGAAAAAAGCTTCTATCGATCAGTCAAAGAACCCAGTACTTTACATTTAAGAGGCAGTTAAAAAAGATAAAATTTAAAATGAGGTCAGTGAGCTAAGGAGAGTCCTCTCACCTGTTTACAATATAATAACTGTTTTAAAACAAATATAAACATATGAATTAGAATCAGTTCTATAGATGAAATGTTCCTCTGTGAAGAGAAATACACCTGGCCTTGTCCTTCTCTCATACTAGAATAGTTCTTTTTGTTAGATACACATATAAGAGGCATGAAAACCAACAGAGGGTGCAATACTGAAGTGGAGCATACCCCTCAAAATCCCCTATATTGATTTTTGCTGATTTTTAATCTAGGTTTGGATGCAATACAAGTATTCGGTATATGCATTCATACATGTTGCTGTTGAAAAGGGGACACAGTATCACTCTGAAAAAAAGACTATAGTTTCTACTTTAAAAGCATAATTTATATATGTTTTGTTTTGACAGTGTTGTCACAACTTGGTGTTGCATCATAAGATGTTGAGTTGTTGCTGCAAAGTGTTTAAGCTTTACACAGATGATTTCTAAGCAGTCTATAGTCTTATATCTATGATGAATATTCGAAGGAAATAAAAATCTTAAGTAATTTTTCTAAGAGTGATGAGGTCCAAAATCTACAGTATACTGATATAATGACCTGATACTGACCCATATGTTGCGCTTTAGATGCCATTAGGCTTGTCAACCATATACAGAATTTGTGCTGTTTTTTCCTCAATAGTGTTTTGTTTTCTTTTTGCTGTCGTAATTACTGTGAACTGTGTTGCTATTGTTCGTGTAGTACCACAATACAGAAATCTGTATTTATACCATGCTATATTTCGAAAAAGCAGTAGCCTATTGTGAATCCAAAACATGCACCAGTCAGCCACTTTATTCAGTACATCTGCTTGTATCTAAACTCACTGTCCATTTTATCAGGTCCATGTTGTAGTTCTACAATTACAGACTGTAGTCCATCTGTTTCTCTGCATACTTTGTCCCCTTTCACCCTGTTCTTTAATGGTCAGGGCCCTTCCGGACACCCACAGAGTGGGTATTATTTGGGTGGCGGATCATTCTCAGCCCTGCAGTGACACTGATGTGGTGGTGGTGTGTTGGTGTGTGTTGCACTGGTAGGAGTGGATCAGACACAGCAGTGCTGCTGGAGTTTTTAAACATCTCAGTGTCACTGCTGGACTGAGTAGCCTGGACATTCTCTAGTTCTTCATCAGTGGTCACAGGACAAAGGACTAGAGTATGACCAACACAAACTAGGCAGCAACAGACGAGTTACTGTCTCTGACCTTACATCTACAAGGTGGACCAACAATGTGTATCTAATAGAGTGGACAGCAGCACCTTTGTGTCTGATCCACTTTTATCCAGATAAGGTGAACTTTTTAAATGATTCACAGGTGGAGACCAGCTGTAATCCAACTGTATATTCATTAGGGCAATATCTGTTCTTTGGGTAAATTATAAGCTCCCATAGTGCAGGGGTTGAATACTTACGCAAACAGCAATTTTCAGTTAGTATTTTTTGTCAGAGAATATTTTCTTTATAAACCAATATCACTTCAAATTAATTAATTTTGAGGGTCAGTCTTTTGAAACCAAGCATAACACAGCACAGAATATCCAAGTGTCATTTAAAATCCAGACAAATCTGATTTATTTTATGGGGGTTGAATACTTTTGCAAGGCAATGCATAGTCTTAGCATTTCCCTTAGTATTTCCCTGAACCTGGAGCTCCCTCAGTAATCCCTGCCAGAAAAAACAGCATAGACCAGCATGATTGGTCACCAGCAAAACCAGTTGAATGCAAGCTACACACTGAACTTCACCAGCATATCGCTGCTGTTGAGACAAAAACCTCATATCTCCATTTTTGTCAATTTTCAGTTTCTGACAAAATCGGAAAGCACCAGTTGCCCTTTACATTGTCTGTCAATTTCACGATGAAGGGACCAAAAGAAATGGCCCAAAATGACTTGGAAAAAAGTCTGGTTCCACTGACTTACATTAAAAGTAAGTAGTTTTTTCCCTTCTCCTGTAAAGTTACCATTTTGGAGATACGAACTTTTGTTCTGACAGCAGCAATATGCTTGGAAGTCTGAGGTTCGGAAATCACTCTTGATCAGACCAAACTGCAGCTTAACACGGTTCTCAAAGTTCTTAGGTTCTGTAACCAGGTAACCAGAACTGTGTTGTTTGTTTGGCAGGGAGGTTAAACCCACACATGAATTAGTCTAATTTTTAAATTTATTACCTTGATTTTTTAAACCACTTGTTTAATAAATATATGGCAGTGCAAAATATTGCGCCCTAGATAAACTTCATGGCTATTCATGGAGGAATCCAGATCATTCCAAAAGGCTCCTCATGACAGTATAAGACCCAAAAATCCTGATTTCAGGCAATAAGCAATGAAGAAGTAGAGATGAAGGAAATTAAAATACACTAAGCTGTGTTCAGAATTGGATCACGTCTTGCAAGAGCCGAAGCATAAAACATTAAAACCGCATTTACAAAGCCACAGCTGATGCATTTCCTTTATTTGTCTTTATTGTAAGCTTATTTACTGAAATTATATGGAGCAACATTTGTCCTGCAAGAAAACAAGTCTATTTTCTTCACTCTGCTCAGTTTCCACATTCATCTTGCTATCCATAGCAAATATAGCATGTTGCTTTTGTAATGAGAAAACATACAAAAGAAAGTGAAGAGCAAGACCAGGTTGTAGCCCTGGGGTTGACTGATCATAAATGACCATTTCCAGAGAACAAACGTGAAAAAAGCACTGAGAGCATCTCCGACTGTCAGAGACAACAGAGTTTCATTGAGTTGTCTGAGCCTTCCTAAATCTCACAAACATACATTTTAAATGTACAACAACTTAATGTACAAAGGGTGGTGTGTTAACTTAAAAAGGACCAACTTTCAACAAAGACAATTCGGTGAACTATTGTGGCCGAGTCTTCTGATAGTTCAGCAACAGAAGGACCCAGGTGTATGAAGCACATATCACATAGTACAACCCATACAGAGGGGACAAAAATATATTTGAGAATGAATCAAAAAGAAAAATTGTAAATCTCATACATTTTGTGTAATACTACACAGGGATCACATGACAAAATGACACTCACAATATCAATGGCTTTTGGTTTCTCTATACAATGTACAAATGTGTTGATTTCATGTTTTGAGCCCCAGAGGCTGAAGAGGCATATTTACAATACATTATTAACAATGTCTTCCATGCAAATAAGTATTTTTAATACTTGTTATAAGCTGAATATTCATAAAACCTTGACCAGTAAAGATACAGGGGGCATTACTGACAAAAATGACTTAAATTTCTAGCAGTTGTTTTTTACAGGTATTTTGTAAGAAATTTTTTAAAAATCAGCTTTACAGATACGAATCTTTTTTTGTTTTTTTCAATTTCTTCTTCAGTCAACAAATGTACCTTGGGGCACATGGCAGATTAAAACACAAGTTTTCTTGGTAACATACTACAATGTACATATTTAACAAAAGAAAATAAGAGAAGAATCTTTATAAGAGAGAAATTGGAAATGAGTATTTGTCCACCATGGTGCACGGGCAAAGCAAAGTGTGAATTTCAATCAAATAAATAAAATCAACGTCTTCCCTGTGTCTCTCAATATTGCACTGGTCTCTTAAAGGGGCAGTGCATGAGAAATTCCTCTGTTCAGTCAAGTATACAATGAAGAGAGGAAAATCTGACAAACAGCACCTTTAAAATTCAAAATACTTACCATCCAAAAGTGATTTCACTTAGATATTATTTAACATCAAAGATGGACCGTCATCAACTTCATTTAATCTGATGAGAAACGTGACTGATTAATTTTAGAGATCACTGTAAAATGAACGATACACGACCAAATGATCTTACGTAAAGTGCGTGCATGTGTGTGACGAGAGGATGAGGAGTTACTGTGTGGCAGCTCAGAGGTCTCACAGACCCGGCTTATCCATGCTGGTTGAAAAAGAAAAAGAAGAAAAAAAATAATAATAAAAAAACGCAGAAACTGAAAGAGCCCTAAAAAGATGCTGCAAGCTGTTTCCACGAGAACCTTCACAGACCAGAACATTTACAAAAAGCCATCCAGTCTTTAGGAAATGGTGAATAGGTATTGCAGAGTCAGCTAAAAGTAGCCATGAAACCAAAAGCTCTCCATGTAAAGTGATATAATAAGGCTTCTTCATTTAAATTTCATCCCCTTAAAAACACTGATATTTGCTTTCAGGAAAAAAAAACGATGATCCATTTAAATTCATTCAATTCAGATTTACAAAAGTCTCAATGCACAAAGCCCAGGGATTCCCTCCCTCTCTCTTTGCACATGACCACCACACTCACACACACACACACATTCAGAACAGCAATGCTGAAATCAAAAACACGTCCGAACTGAAAAGCGCAAGAATGTACAAAACACGTCCACATGTGGAGTGGTGGTGGTGTGGAGGAGACCAAAAGGGGAAAGCAGTGTTGAGGAGAGTTTGCATACTTGCGGAGAGTGACTGGAGTCTCAGCACTTACAGTCACTGATTGTGTTACACAGAAAGATTAGCTGGTTAAGCAGACTGACAGGCACTGCATGCAACAGGGGACAGAGGAGTGTGTCTGTGTGTGCATGTGTGTGAGAGAGAGAGAGAGAGAGAGAGAGAGAGAGAGAGAGAGAGAGAGAGAGAGAGAGAGAGAGAGAGAGAAGAGAAAGAGAGAGAGAGAGAGAGAGTGAGTGAAAGACAGACAGAGAAAGAAAGAGAGAGAGGGAGGGAGAGAGAATGTTTGAGTGCATTTGTATGTGTGTTGGGGTTAGGCGTGAGGGTAAAACTTGTTTATTTCTGTCCAGTAATGGACTGAGATATAGAACGAGGGGGGATCATGTCCAGCAGGTACTCGCGCTGTCTATCTGCTAAACTCGACTTATGACCTCCAACAGTGCCTGGACTCAGGTATGCAATGTTCACTCCTACAGAGATAGATAGATAGATAGATAGATAGATAGAGAGATAGAGAGAGAGATAGACAGAAATAGACAGATACATAAAAGTAGAGACAGAGAGCAAAAGAGAGAGGAAAAAGGGCAGAGGAAAAAAAAAAGAAGGTGGAACAGAGGCATGGGGTAGACAGAGAGGAAAAGAAAGAAGACAGATAGACAGACAGAGTGACAGATATATAGAGAGAAGAGACAGACAGTTAGACAGAAGAAAGGGAGGTTGGGAGGTAGAGAGAGAGAGAGAGAGAGAGAGAGAGAGAGAGAAAGAAAGAGAGATTATTTGACACAAAGTCAGGCAAAACTTTGAGTAATCAACTCTAACAATTAAGTGCTATTAAATTCTACAAAATAAGTTTAGTTTTGGCAGCTGATTAACATACAGGTATAATTTTACATTAAGCTAAAACATTTGCTTTTAAATTGTATTTCTGTCAGCAGGTAAACACATGATTTCACTTATTAAGCTCATTTAACTCAGCAACAAAGATCATGCAAAGGACAACAAGCAAGTCTGAGATTCAGCAGCGTATTATTTCATCTAATTACAAGGGATTGAGTTGTACTGCTTAGTCTCTTGTGCAGACACTGTCCAATGTGACGATGCACAACATACTGACGTGCAAACACACACACACACACACACACACACACACACACACACACACACACACACACGCATGCACACATACCAGGGATGCTGTATAGCTGATGTCGGCTGTCGTGCTGTGCCCGGCTGCTGGAGCTCGAGCAGTGTTTGCTGGTCATGCCCATAATAGCAGTGGGCAGAGCGAGCTGGGAGGCCTGGGCAAAGTTGGACAGCACACCCCGTGCTGACCCGGAGCCTGCAGAGTTTGCACTGCGCTGCAGAGACACCTGGGACTGAGCAGCCTGTGACTGGGACGCCTGCGCGGCAACACACACAGAAAAAAGATCCTTCTTATTCAAAAAATACATAGATTAGGTGCACCTGATTTTACAATGCCGAGTTTTATCAATAAGCATAATCCGGGCTAGATAACAATGGAAAAAATAGATAATCTGAGCTTTGACAAATAATATTCCTCAAACATGGTCTTATATATGTGATTATTTATGTACGATTTCTTTAAAGCTAAATGTCTGCTTTAGTTTGCGTGTATCTACCTGTCTGATGGTGTGGTGCCTGATCATGGACTCAGCTTTGCTCACACTGGCTGCAGACACTGTGGGACTGGTGGACAGCGCAGCTTGCTGCTGCAACCGCTGCTCAATCTCCTATCAAACACACACAAACACACCCACAACAAACATATGCTTCATCACTGCAGTTGGATCAAAACCTTGTTTTTAAAGCATCTCTTACAGTAGGCCTTTGTATAGTATGTAGTAATGAGCTGTAGCTGATCAGGGCTTTATCATTACCTGCTCTTGCTGCAGAGCTTTCACAAAGGCATTCTTCAGCCTGTTGGTGTGCTCAGCTTTTAAAGCCCTCTTCTGATTGGATGTCATGCATGTCTCACAGAGGATGCGCCCACCCTTCTCCTGCTTCCAGTGAGGGGTGAAGTCAGTCTTACACTGAGCACAAACAAAGGGCTCCAAATGACCCAGTGACCCACGCAGCTTACCTACACACACGAACAGACACACATTTGTTATAACATATTAAAAATATTTAATAAAATTACCTTTTTAAACTACATTAACATACTACACATGACCTATACACCGATTAGGCATAACATTATGACCACCTCCTTGTTTCTACGCTCATTGTTCGTTTTATTAGTGCCACTTACTATATAGGTGCACTTTGTCCAAAAACAAAAATCAAAGGAAGGTGAAAGGTGCCTTGGACCATGGTCTGGACCAAAGAACAAAAATTTGGTCTGACCAAAAGAGGTGATAAAAATAATATGCAGTAGCACAAAATGTCAAATGTCAACTTGAGAAACACACAAATTGCTGAAATTTCTCTCTTATTTTCGGAGAGGATAAGAGAGAGGATCCGACAAGACGGGAGAACAATGCCATCTAAAGATACAGAAACAACGGCAACAGTATTAAATCTGTTCACGCTACCAACCGAACTAACACGCCAATGTCAGGTGCACGCTCCTCTACAAACCAATCATTGTGAAGTATCGGGAGACGCAGCCCACGTAGATGATGATGACAGGACATGGGTTTGTCATGCAAAGTTCTTTAGCGCACTCGCTAAACTGCAACGTGAAGCCAAACTAACCAGATCAAATATATACAATGTAATGAAAACATTAACCTTGGTTCAGACCGTGGTCCTGACTTTTAGACATGAAAACGCCCAATGACACCTTATGCATTTGGGCCATTTCAATTATCCTACAATTATAACCCTCACCCTGGCTGTCGAGGACACACTGTACAACCTCCTCCAGGCCCAGCAGGTAGATGAACTCAGAGTTGGCAGCTGAGGGAAGGAAGTGGAGGAGTGGCGCTGGTGGTTTGGGTGGTGGGATCTCGAGCAGTGTTTTCTCCAGCTGTTTGCGAAGGGCCAGTTTGGCTGCAGCCTGACTGCTGGCCACGTCCTGAAGAGATGTGGAGCTAGCACTGGCCAGCGAGGATGACCCCACGGCGCTCGCCATCCCAGATACGCCCACCGCCGGCATGTGCGCCAGGTTCATGTAGATGGAGGAGGAGCTGGAGCGCTGGGCCACAGACACCTGCTGACTAGACGCCTGTAAAGCACACACACATTAAATGTGTTAACTAGAGTTTGAAGTGCAAAATGTCTTGTGAACAGCTGTTGGAATCGTGTGAAAAGAAAAAAAAAAAAGACTGGAACAGTGTAACACACACTAATAGGGTTGTATAGTAACCCTCACACACTCCTTAAAGGGCTCACAGTCTGCATTTTCTGGTCATTTATTTGTCACCTTTCTTTATTTCTCAATTAAAAGTTTTTGATTACTGTGTCTTTAAAGGGGAATTCCACTGATTTTCTCAATTTCTGCTAAATTAAATCATCAAAACGTAAAAAGTCAAATTAAGTGATTGCGATAGGAACCAGATGTCCAAAGAGTCTAATGCCTCTGAAAGTAACATAACAGAAAGTTATTACATTAAACGGTTAGGAAGTCACTGCCTAATGTCTGAGACACTGTTTTACATCATTCGCTGGTGGTGTTGGATGGTAAATAAAATTGCCATATTTGCATTGACCTCTAAAAAGAATGCATTTTTACCATAAGAGATATGTCAGTTACTGGAAAAAGTGCCCTATAATTTTTATACATGCCAATTAATGTGTGTCAATTTCAGTCATTTTGTTCTATCATAAGAAGAAATAGTTTGTGGTGCAGACAGAAATTTAAACAAAGGCAGCAACCACAGGAGACCAGCTCAACAAAGCCCACAAAAGTCACAACACAATGGAATGCATGATATGCAGAATTGGAAGAAGGGTTTCATAGCAGCATGACAACGATGCACAAACAAAAGAAGTACCTGAGTCCCGACATGTTTTCTGCTCTCTGTGATATTGGGAAAGTGCTTTAACTAACTAGCCTAAGAAGAAAATGTCAGATCAGGAAAGTAACTTTAGGCTACATGTCAAAACAGAACGTCTCAGAAAGAGAGGAATATTTCAGTGATCTTAAGTACAGCGTAGTAAAATTAATGTCATAGTACATATTTAATAATTAAAAAGCTAAGGCTCCAGACTAACTCTGTCCAGTCCAAGGACAATAAATCAGTACAGGGGTTGTGGTCTCAGGACGATGAAGTTGTATATGTTAAAACTTAGAATCTGTAAAATATACAGTCATAAAATTAGCAATGTGCCAGTTTATGCCAGCCATAAACATAATACTGTTTAATGTAGAAACCCTTAGCCAGTGATGTATAAGATGTCAGCATTTAAGACCAACACAGAATCATGTAAACGGTGACAAAACTGGGAAATTAATGATAAAATGTGTGCTAGAACTGAGAAAACAGAAAATGTGTTAAGCTGAAAAAAAATAACAGCCAGTAACTGATAAATGAGGAAGTTATATAAAGTTACATGTTTTTGTATTTTTTCCAACCATCTTTCTGTTTCAGCAACTTATTATCTTACATTTGCCACTTAACATTTCATACAGAAGTACATGAATTTTAACTGAGAAATAAATATAAACAAAAGCCATTTATTTTTATATCTGTAATGATTCATTTTTTAAATCTTTTTTGTGCTATTATTTAAATGCATCAACTTAAACTTGAACATAATTATAAGATGATTATTCGAAAACTAGTAGACAGATTAAACAATTATAGAAATAGCAATTGCAGCCCTAGTTGTGACAAACAGACTGTTTCTGCAGCTTGGCTTTCATATATGGGCTGGAGAGTAAATGATACTTTAAGAAGGTTTTGCAGTGCATGAAACTGTTTTATTTTTAAAAACAAGGAAAATTCAGTATTCTTTGGTATAGGGCCCTTTAAAACACAAGCGCACACGCATACACTCTCTCATACACACACACACATGCACCGTACCTGCTGGTAGCCGACAGCACCGCTGATGTTGGCTGTGGGAGTGCTTATGCTGCTGGGTTTGGGCTGCACTCTGTGGCCCTGCAGCTGCCCTGGGCTTGGAGCAACCACACGCTGTGACATCATCATCTGGGGCACAGAGGCGGTGGCTGCAGACCGGATCACACTCTGACCCTGAGGAGAGCAAATCATCACACAAACACTACCGTATAATCCTGCTACACGTTGGTGATTTAAGACTGCAGTTTTACATGCAGCCACAAGATGGCAGTCATGCACTGTGCATTTCTGTTAATGTCTCAGAGACTCATTTCTTAGTCACCTGATTAGAAAAGGCTGCCTGTACTTACAGCCTCAAATCCAGCTCTCTTATAGGGCCACTGTAAAGGAGAGCTCAGCACTGGGGTAAAATGTAACATGGACTTTTTATTTAGTTAAACAGATTAAAACAGAATGTGCTGTTGCTGAGATTCAAGATGAAGACTTTACTGCACCATGAAAACAACTTTTTTTTCCCATTTTTCTTGTTATTACTTACTGAGATGCGAGTACAACTTACAGATTTCACACCTCTTTCACTTTAAGCACCCTCTTCGTGCCTGTTACCTAGTACAGCTTCCAGACGGTGGTGTTCATGGCATTCATACAGCGCTAGAATTAAGTAATCCATGCAAAACAATCATATCTACATATCCATTTAACATAAATGCAAAATAGTTATTTTTGAAAGTATGTTTGTGCACACTTTATTTACTTTATTCATATAATTTAAACAAACTATATTTTACAAATTTTTATTATATTAGAGCTTTTACTTTGCAAAGTTTAACAAAGCTGATCATATTTACTTTGATGCATATATTTCTACATATTTAGGTTTGTGTATTTAGAAAAGCTCATCTGGTTGAAACAACATAGAAATGTATCGGGTTAACTGCTTCTGCATCAATTAACCAGTTACAACCAGTCCTGACCACCCCTCGATCTGTTACAACTTCCCCTTCGGCAGGATTAACTATCGTTTGCACTTGGCCGTTTTCACTGAACTGTTCACAGAAGTTTAGAGTTTAGAGAGGTGCACTTTTTAAATAAAAATAATTAATAAAAATAATTAAACAATTACATAATTTAAGAAAAACACGCACATTCAGCAAAACCAAAATGTGTTAGGTTGTACCCTGCCCTATAGGTGTATCTGTCCATAATTTGTCACCCCTACCCCACTGATCACTGGTACGTTTCTGACCACAGCTGAGCACTGACCCAATATTACTGAAACTGACCACTGATTAAGGGCTTGATGATGGCAAAAAAAACACCTGTGCAGGGCAACACATGGACTACAGTCTATAAGTGGCCAGTGGGTTTGTGTTATATAGCACAGAAAGCCCTACAGGTTTGTGAGTGCAAGTTTTTGCTGTGTGTGTGCGTGTGTGTGTGTGCATGTGCGCTCCTGACCTGTGCAGCACGGAGGTGCTGGGGGTCCGTGCTATGATGTCTGTGACTCGCTCCAGTGGGCAGCTTGCTGCTGACATGGGAGCTGTGGGCTGAAGGGTGCACAGAGGATGAACTGCTCTGGACTACAGACACCTGGTGGAGAGAGGGGGCAGGAGAGAGGGAGAGAGAGAGAAAGACAGACAGACAGAAAGAGAAAAAGAGAGAGAGAGAGAGAGAGAGAGAGAGAGAGAGAGAGAGAGAGAGAGAGAGTGAGAGAGAGTGAGAGACAGACAGACAGACAGAAAGAGAGACAGACAGAAAGAGAGACAGAGAGAGAGAGAGCGAGAGAGAGCGAGAGAGAGAGAGAGAGAGAGAGAGAGAGAGAGAGAGAGAGAGACTGTCATGTAGACACAAGAAGGCAAAAGTGTGGAAACAGGCAATAATGTTTTGAAAAATTTATTAGAATTAGTCAATTTACCAGCAACCAACAAAACATAACATGTTTACTGACTGATCTACTTAGACCAAAAAAGCTTTCCGAGAATATTCAATTAGTTTCAAGTGATTATACGGGAAAAGCCTTTACAATCCTTGTTAAACAGTCAAAACAAAAAAAGTGTTCTGTTAACAGTCTCTTACAATGACCAGTTTGAAATGACTTAAATTCCTAATTGAAGTCCTCTGATTCAGTTAATCAAGCCTTCACAATGTGAGAAGCAGGTAGATTTGATTAGAGCTGCAGTAAAACTCTGCTAAAGAATCACAGTGAGCTAAACAACTGAAGAATCAGTTAGTTGTAGATTATTGCTGCAGATATGAAAAAGAACCCTGTTTATTTTTACAAAATTAAAATTCAAAGTTTTGGCCTGTAGTGCACGTTCACTGCTACATTCCAGTTACTGATTCTGACAGGTTTCAGGCTGTTTTTAGAAACGCACACCTACACGAATTTGCTGTGTTATCTCCAAATTTAAATGACTTGCACTCAGGATTAGAAACAAGCGCTTTGAAGCTTTTGTACCAAAATTACTGACTAAGCCTCCACAGGCACCACTGTTACATTCACAACCTCACCAGGCAGATTACTAAAGAGGTTCAGCTGAGCCCCAACATGGTTTGAAAGTTTATATAAGCAAGGGATAAATGCTGATAGCACCACCTCACATTAACTAAAGAAACAGGTTTAATATAGTTTAACAAATATAAACAAGTTCTACATGCATGTTCAGCAGTATAGCACAGGGCTAGACAGGTGCAGTATTATTTCTGTTTGAAAAATGTTTTATATCACACTTAATTGCTTGAAATAGCAACAGAAAGAACGTATTTTCCCAAAGCAGTAATAAGCATTAGTACAATATGTAGGATAAAATGGGGATCGGTCCAGTGTATCCCTAATTATATAAAATATAGGCTTGGATGGATTAAAGTCCAGAGAGCTTTTCTTTTAATCATGACGCATTTATCATGGTTATGAAATGGTTTAATATTTAATCATTTAAACTAGGAACGCAGGAAAAAGCACCCTAAAATTCACACTCATCAGTCAGTTCTGGGAAGCCTTTGTGTTTCAGTGGTAATATGAAGCACAAAGGCTTTCCAGAACTGAGAATGACCACCCAGAATTATTTCATGTTGCATTAATAGAAAGTTTTATATGACAAACCTTGAACAGGTTATATTGTTTATACATGCCATAAACATGGGGAGTTTGAGTGGGACAGGGTCCACTATTTTATCACTTAGTTTGAGTAGAGACATGTGTAATAACCATAACACTACATTGCTATACTTTATTTAAGCATATGCACATGCTGTTTCTCCAAATTGGGGAAACTCTAAATAACCAAACCTACACGTCCCACATTCTTGAGCTTCTAAAAATAAAGAATGCGGAATTGCTTGAATAAAAAATGTTCCGAGACTTAATAGGCGAGACTTGTGAACTATTGCAAATAAAAGACAGAGGGAGAGACAGAAAAAGAGAAAGAGAGTAACCTTGTGGGAGAGATTCTCCTTCTGTAGTTGAGATTGTCTGAGTTTCTTTAGCAGAACCAGGCGAGCCTCCTCCAGCCTCAGCTCCTCTCTCAAAGCCTTAATCACCCTCTGACGCTCAGCTACACTCTTACCCTGAAACACACACACAAACACACACGTTTTGATACAATGGAAGGACATTGATCAAATAATACATATATACAGTATGTCAAATGTATTATGTTATGGAACATAATATAACATGGGATAAATGGGGTATTATATTACGTATAATAAATACCTATGCTATAACAACGTAATGCATTTACGCAAATACCTATGTGTTATTTAAGCAAAAGTACACGAGAGTGTGTGTTCTTGCATTGTGTGGTTGCAGGCACCAAAGGCAAGTACTATAAATCATCACAGCCATGATGTTATCATGATAACACACCTCAAGAAAAAAGTAGTAGCCTTTTGCGTTACGGATAAACCCATAAAACCATCACAATACAAGGTTCTGCTCAACTTTTTAAATATTTGCCACATCAACCTGAATACTCCAGTCAGTCTGTAAAGCACTTTACAGCCCATCTTGTTTGCTGAATTGTACTCAGTTGCACTCAACAGTAATTGTACTGGGGCTAATGCAAGTTTGTTTAGCTGTTCTGCCGTCACAGAACAACTAACTGAAAAGTTTGCTTAGGATCAACGACAGGTTCAGAATTTAATGTAGACCAACTGGGCTGCAGGTTGGAAGTTATCTAATATATATTTATTTTCTGTTTTGTATGTGCTAAAAAATGTAGAAACTTAGTGATATTTAGCTACAGCATAAAGTGAGTTGTTACTTAGGAACCAGTGCTCAGCGGAATGATACACTTATTGTGGAAATAATGTTGTCAAAACAAACTTGTTGTATAAAATAATATATCGCACATGTACTATAGTCCTAACAATCTTAACTTCAGTAGTAATTGTAACGGACAAACGTACCCAACACTCAAAGATGAGAAATGCGGTGCTACATCTAAATACAGACTTTCCTTCTGCTGCCTCTTTACCTTGAACATGTCCAGGTTTACAGGCTTCACTCTTTCCTCTCTGCCGGCTCCTTTAGGGCTGGATGCCTCATTGTCAGACAGGACAATGACGTCAGGTGAGGGAGTGTGACGGTCTTTATCCACAACACTGTCATCATAAATATGATGTGAAGGTCAACAGTCTGCCACTGTCAAAACTATAGACACTATAGACACATTCACATACTTTTTTGGCAACAACGGTTTCTAGGTAATTACTAAACATAAAACATCGCATGACAGTTATGACATGACATGACAACAGGATTTAAACAAACAAACAAACCAAAACACTTACAAGCAATGAGTGAGCTGGATTTGACAAGGTGTAAGATTAACATTATCCTTATCTATACCTAGTATAAAAAAGCAGGGGTCAGTTTCTATGGTACAACTGAATATCCTTTCAAGCTTTATTTTAATACTATTCCAAAAAGAGACAATCATGGGGCAAGACCAAAACATGTAAGTATGTACCCACCTCTTTTTTGCATTTTACGCAAGCTGAAGATTTTAGGCAGTATAACTATAAACGACATATATATATATATATATATTTTCCCCCCCAGGTGGATAAAATTCAGCAAATAGCCTTGCAGTCTCGACAGACAAACACTGGCAGTACAATGGGTCAAACTGATGAGCTCAATGATTTTATACATGGCACTGTCATACAACACCGCCTCTGCCATAAGTCAGTTTGTGAAACGTCTGTCCTACTAGATCTGCCCCTGTCAACTGTAAGTGCTATTATTGTGAAATGGAAGCACCTAAGAGGGACAACAGCTTAGCCTCGAAGCGGTAGACCACGCAAACTCAGTGGGGCCGCTGAGTGCTGAAGCGCACAGTGCCTATTCTCTGTTGAATCACTTACTTAAGAGTTCCAAATGACCTCTGGAAGCAACATTAGCAAAAGAATTGCGTTTTAGGAGCTTCATGAAATGGGTTTCCATGGCCGAGCAGCTACACACAAGCCTAAGATCAAAATGCACAATGCCAAGCGTCAGATGGAGAGGTGTTAAGCACACCACCACTGGACTCTGGAGCAGTGGAAACGTATTCTGTGGTGTGGCGTATCACGCTTCTCTATCTGGCAGTCTGATGGACGAGTTTGGGTTTGGTGAATGCCAAGAGAACGTTATCTGCCTGACTGCATTGTGACAAGTGTAAAGTTTGGTGGAGGAGGGATAATGCTATGGGGTTGTTTTTCAGGGGTTGGCCTAGACCCCTTAGTTCCAGTGAAGGGAAATCTTAATACTTCAGCATAAGACATTTTGGGCAATTGTATGCTTCTAACTTTGTTTGGGGAAGACCGTTTTCTGTTCCAGCATGACTGAACCCCAGTGCACAAAGGAAGGTCCATAAAGGCATGGCTGGGTGAGTTTGGTGTGGAAGAACCTGACTGGCCTGCATAGAGCCCTGACCTCAACCCCATCAGACACCTTTGAGATAAACTAAAAACAGAGATTGTGAGCCAGGCCCTCTCATCCAACATCAGTGTCTGACCTTACAAATGCTCTTCTTGATAAATGGGCACAAATTCCCACAGACACACTCCAAAATCTTGTAGAAAGCGTCCCAGAAGAGTGGAAGCTGTTATAGCAGCAAAGGGGGGACCAACTCCTTATTAATGTCTATGGATTTGGAAGGGGGTGTACAAGTTTCTGTAGATGTAATATGTAGGATGTGTTTTATGCCCATCTGGGTTATAAAGTGAACTTGTTTTAAACTGCCAAAAGCAGAGAAATAAAACGGTTTAGTATTGATGTTGGTACTGGCCACAACAAGGTATTGGTCAACTATTGGTCATCATTACTGGCCCCCAAAGTTATAACAGTGCATGCCTACTCTGTATGTGTGTGGCTACACAAGATCAGTCTCTCTCTCTCTCACCTCCTCTTGGCACTCATGTCCACGGGCTCATCATTAACGTTCTCCTTGCCACTGCGGCCCATCAGAGAGTGAGCCATGGCCGGTGCTCTCAGGCTGCCATTCAGCTTCTCCTCATAGGCGGCATATCCCAGCGTCACATGGCTGCTGCCCCCCGCACCTCGCAGGTCTGCCAGCGCCCCCGAACTGCCCTCCAAACCGCCCAGGTCCTTACGCTTCAGCAGAGCCAACATCTTCAGCCGCTCCATGGCCTCATGGCCCTCCACCTTCAGCCTCTTGGGCAGAACATCATCCTGAACCCGGCTGCGCTCCTCCGCCGGCTCCAAGCCCCGCTTCAGCAGATTCAGCCGCAGTGCCTCCTCACTCATGCGATCCATCCTGGATGAGAACACACACACAGCAGTTAAAAACTTTTCCTACTGCCAAAAACAAAGTGTGATTTTTTTAATTGATTTAAGACCTATCATTTCATTTCTGTCTCCTATAAAAGCATGCTAACCTGTCACAAATTAAATTAGAGGCAGCTTTGTGGAAATTTAATAGATTCCAGAATATAGCTTGTTTCATCACTCCTTTGAGACACACTGTGTATTAGCAAAGTGGGTTTTATATTGCAGAAAATATGTGGTATACAGTGCAAATTCTTCACAGTAATACCTTCTCGCTCCTGGGATAATTAAATAATTTTTTCTCATCAAGAGGTAAGACTTTTATTTAATTCTTCACAAACAATAACAATGTAAACAAACAAATCTCAGCTTAAAGTGGAGGTTTTTTTTTTTAGATCATTTTCTTATCTCATGAACTTGCCCCATGAATTGTTAAGAACCAGAAATACCCCTCATGTATCTACTTATTTTTGGTTCCCTAGAGAAAATTTATATTATATTTTATTAAACGTACATTGCCTAAGAAATAGTTGATAGGTGATAAATTGAATTTGTGTATGAACTCTATGTATAGCATACATTAATGTGTTTTTTCTGTTTAAAAAACAATTATACTAACATATAATTACATACATATTGCATTTCATAACCTCATTGCCTCACCAGATAGGATAGTTGTAATAGTTCTACGTTTTATTTTCCATGGAAAATTTCTCTTATTGATCATGTCCCCACTATCAAATTTCCCACTATCTGGACTGATGAAGGATCATTTGAAATTCACGGGAGAATGAACAGGGAAGCTGATAATTTAGCTTAGATTTGTCTGCAGAAGCAAAGCTACCTCAGACAGCAGAATTAAAGTCTCAACAGTCATTCCTTCTGTCTGCTACTGGTATTGTGACAGAAGCTGCCATGTCTACTCTGAACCCCCTTGAGTCTGTCTACACCAGTGCGCTCACATTTGTTACTGATGACACGTCCCCTTATTCCCCACCACCAGGGTTGGGATTTAAGGGAACACAAATATTGAGAATACATATTCAGAATACAGAAATTAAGTATCTGTATTCAGCCAAGTTACATTTTGTAAAGTCAGTATTCAGAATACAGTTATCGTTTATATTTTAGGAGAACACTTTTAGAATACTTATCCACTAAAAAAATAAAATTTAATAAAAAAGCTCTTTTAAAATCAGCGCACGGTGTGTAGCAAATATGCTTGTTAGACAGACTCTAAAGAGGACCTCAATTAACGGCTTCTTTACAAACACTGAAGTTCCTGCTAAAGCCTGAGAAGACTGATAAATCGATGTGATGAGCCAGTTATTAATATCAGCGTTACTGAGCTCTTCTGAGGAAAGATCACATTAACAATCTCCTCAGAAGTGGACATGTTTGCAAGTGATGAGCTAAGCATTGGTGTTGTACTGGACTCATGAGGATTATGGGAGCAGTAGTGAACTGAAGCAGGCAATGAGAGAGAAAAAAAAATGTTGAGAATTTTTAATTCTCTAAACTTAAATAAAGAAAACTGCCAAACAGGAACAGGAATAGTGCGAATTAAGTGGAAAAAAGGCTTTTACCATGTACTTTAACTAAATATTTTATATGCATTTTAAATGAATTCTCAATACATTCGTTTTTATGTGTTATAATGGAATGTGTTCCTGAATACATTCAGGCCAGTGTTTTCAGTAATCAGTTATCACTACTTTTTCAAAATATTTTGCCCAACTCTGCTCACTACCGGACCCTGACTATACCCTGGTTTGGTATGTCCATTTTGTAAAGACAAAAATCCAGTTCACTTCCAGTTTTGTAAATCATATACAAATACTTCAAAACACTCAATCTTCAATACTGAGTAAAAAGGACTGAAGGACCTCAAAACAGGTGGGAATTGCACTTTATGGTTGCTGCTAAAATGCACAAAATAGAGCTAACAAATACTAGACAACACTGACATCCCTATTTGATGGAACAGAATGTGTACTGTGGATATTACAATGTTTATTCTTAAATAAATACCATATAATTAGCACTAGGCTTCCCCTTTTTGTGTAATCAGTTGTGGGGTTATCGGTCAACTAAGATTCTGTCAGTTTGATTAATTGCTTTATTTCCTTCTTTATTTATATATTTACTTATTTATTTTGATGAGTAAATTATAGCTAAAACTACATATTTCTACACATTGTTTGTATCATGTACCTAGTGCATCTTCATCAAGTCCAAGCGTTGTTTCACTGAACATACCACACATGCATCTGTCATGCAACACACTAGTTATTCAACAGCAAGGCAGGTGTAGGGAAAAATATGATGTACGTTTAGCCTCAAACTGCCACTGTCAATACATCCTAAGGATTATTATTCAGTAATTACAAGGAGAACAATGCAAACTGGCCAAGTTATAGGGGTGAGCAAAGCAGGTCTGGAACCACCAGCAGTTCTTGGAGTTTAAGAGGATAAAAACATGTTTTGTTTCAATGCCTTAAAATGTGCAACAAAGTATTCAATAACATACAAAGTGAAATGAAAGCTTACAGTTAAAGTGCAATCTAGGTTTAAGTCTTTTAATCCAGATGTTTTCCAATGATTATTAAATGATCTATTTTAGACAATTAAAAAAACCTTTAATCATACAACATACATGTTTTAACACAGAGATTATCTGGAGCAACAAACAAAACCTTCCTCTACTGGTTACACATTTGAAACTGTATCCCAAAAACTGTTTGTTTTCTATAAGCTGGTTTCGAGAATCTGGGGACAGTGAAGTCACTGACCTAATCAATAAACTCCTTCTCACTGCTGGAGCGCTAATCTAGTGTCCTGACTGCTGCTACACTCTGGTTCTGAAACCACACTGAGCTGAATGCCCAGTAATACAGGCTATTCTACAACCAGGTCACAAATCAAAGAATGTCTCTGGACATGACAGTGCCACCTCACTTTGAAGGAAGAACAGACATAAGGATAGAAGGATGAGACGATGGACAGAAAGATAAAAATGGTTGGATGGATGAATAATTCAAATTGTAGCGAAACTCCCTGTGGAGCAAAATCTCTCATATCTATAACACATGACCACATGTGAACTTTTCTGGTATCTCTTTCACTTGAGCTTTCATGCAGTGAGAACTGGAGTGCTTACAGAGGCAGTGTTTTACCAATGGAGGACTGCATACTGATCTACAGATTCTGAGACAGGAATAAAGGAATTGTTTGGTTAAAATAATCAAATTTGATACATTTTCTTCTTACTCTGAATGTACCCGATATAACAGGACATGTTTGGTGTCTGAAGTTTGCATCTCCGGTTTTGCACTGGAGCTACAAGGTTAATATAGTTAAGTAATGGAAGCATATGCCCCAGTAATTAATTAGCACTGTGCAATCTGTATTCCTAAATCACTGAGCACTTGCTTCAAACTGTGTAGAGCTGTTAAGTAAACTCAGACTGTATGTGGTTTCAGTGTATGACTATAAAATGTACATACTATAAAAAAACAAAACATACTATAAAAATGGACAGTTCAGGTCTTAAGATGACTCCTACTACTACATTTTTTACCAATGCGACATCGTTGTGACTAGTGCAAATCTAAAGAAGCAAATTTAAAGCACTAAAAGTGTCTTGGCAGATACACCGTATTTGGGAAAAGGGCAAAACTAGGACTCGGTATCAAAAGGCTTGTTCCAAAATATAAAATGCTGACTGGCTGTCAAAGTGACATTCTGTAAGGATGCAATTAATATGAGCACTTTATTCCAGAATTGTTATAGTCAGTACATACTTAGCACCTCACACTCAGAGACCTCTAAAGTTGTGTTGTGATTCTGTAGTCAGCATGGACTTCACTGGATACCCTGAACTGCAAGGTGGTTAAAGAGCTGATATATGAATATGTCTATAAGCAAGCTAACACTGCTATGCTCTAAATTGACATCATAAGACTGGCACAAAACAGGGGACTCTGTCAAGTCCAGTAGCTAAGTTTCTCTGGCAGTAGTAGACTACAGTTTAAGTAGCTGGAGTAGATCTTCATGCGCTGTCACTTGAGTGTGCAGGTGTGTTACCTGTTTTTCAGATAGCAGGAGGATAACAGGCCAGTGTTGGCCCACTGATGGCAAAGCTGGCGGCCCACTGGCTTTTTGCTCAGTGTTTTCTGGGTGGCCCAACGGTGATTAAGTGTGTTAGACAAAATGTCACTTTCCATCACTCATTTTCCACTCAGTCCAATTTACTGATTTTTCCTTCATTTCCTTTCGTCATCCTCTTTGAATAATGAAATAATTTTACCTGTAATTTCACAAAGGTTATACAAATGTAAACAATATAGCACAGTGTCAACAACATTTTCAACTAAATCAATTTATATTAGCCTATTTAATAATTATTTTTCTCTCAACTGTTTGTAATATTTGTCATATTTTATTTTCCATAACACACAAAATGTATCGGCTTTGAAACTTTTCCCCCAATCACAGGATTTGAAAGTGGCTATTTTCAAAAACACCATTCATTTTGCCTCATATAGAAAATCTGCTTAGATCCAGAGCTCCTAATATGGTCATTACACCAACTGCAGAATAGTGCACAACTTCTGGGGTGTATTTCTTGTTTAAGCCACTCCTACTTCTGATGTAAATGAAAGGAAAATATCAAAAATCATTATCTATCATTAAGGAATTAGTATATAAATCAAAATCAAAGTATCAGTTTTAGCACAAATATTTTTAACACTACCCAGCTCTAGACCAAACTGAATTTCTTGCTGAACTTTCATTTTAAATGGTAGATGCACTGCTGGTACATAGAGTTCTATGGAACCAGTTTAAAAGAATGTCCTCTAAGATACAGGATAAAAGGAAGAACCAATTCACATCAAAAGTAACCAATCAGAGCTGCCTTCAGTGTACATGCATGATGCATCCATCCTCAGAAACCCACTCCAAACGGTCCCTCCTCTTCCTCTTCTTCTTTTGAAATATGCATTCATTGCTTAGCTCATACCCAAATCAACGCACACTCTCACTTTTTTTTAGCCAATCAGGTTACTACTTTCCTGCCACACACACACACACACACACACACACACACACACACACAACTGCATCAACTGCATGCACACATGCGCGTGCACACACACAGCTCTGGGCGCTCAGCCAGTCAACATAGTCCTCACACGCCTCCAGCAGCTCTGGCACTGCGAAGAAAAGGAGGTGCTAAGATGGAGGGATGGTAAATGACAAGATCAGACACACAAACACACTCCTATGTACACAGCCACAGTCCATCACTTACAGCAGATCAGGACTCATTTTATACCAATTTCACCATCAAGGTATTATCATACCCAAGACATCTGAATGAGTAACACCTATAATGTGTTATGTGTATGTAATTTGTAATAATGCACAAACCTGATGTACTAGATCAGTATCGGCACCAATAATAACCTTATCAAATGGATCAGAGAGCGGTCAGATGTGACTTATGTCAAATACTTTCCCACTGTCATTAAAAAAAGTTAACGGTACAATCTGTAAAAAAAAAAAATAAATAAAAAAATCACAAACAGTGACAACAGAATTCATAATGGAGCATAAAGGAATTCATTACCCTGGATGAACAAGTTATCTGGTATTGAGGACACTTTATTTTGTGGTACAAACTATAACATACATACATACTGTAATAATTTTAGTAACTTTATTTTATATAAACTGTTTACTGTCAGCTTTTTTTGCAGTTTTCAGGTTTGACCAGGAATTGTTATTTGTCTGCTAGTGATGCCCTGAAATGACATCATGATACCTTAAGACAATTTCATAAATGACATGCAGAGATATTACATTTATATTAAATTAAATGAGATTTGATTAGTTGTAACAGTAAAAACGTTTTTATTCAATATTTCTCATAAATTGCTGCACTAATTCCAGTTAAACAGAACTCATTATGCTCTCTTTGTAATGAAGTGTGCAGTTGATAAGTGCTCTTTAAGTACTGATGATATACGCAGTATGCTCAGAAAAGCTTACTGTGACGGAATAGGACAATTTCTCACAACACTACTGTTTTGCTGTTGTATAGTGTCTATTCCAATATACTAAATGTGAGAAAAAATAGATATCATGATACTTATCATGCATCATAATAATATCTTGTGAATTGTAATATTACATTTTGCTCGCCCACATTACCAGACTTCAGTGGCACAAATCTGATTTTCTGCCTTGATGTGACATAGACTGATTTTTCCAGAGTTATGTGGACATGCAAATGTGATCTTTTGACTTTTGTTTGTAGTCCTAGATCAGACACACATCTGATTCATGGCCATATGGCCTTAATGAGAATGGCCGGATCAGAAGTCTTGTGGGTTTTATCACTGCACATATGCAGTCATTCAGCATTACCATGGCAGCAGTGCCTAACCTGAAGTCAGAGTCAGTAAATGCTGCAAAATCAACATATTTGACCCTTTCACCCCTTAGTTTTAGTTTAATAATGAACAGCCAAGTTATTTCACGTTATTGATTAGGATGTGTGCATGCAGGTTGTTTCTGGACACAGTTATATTCACATTAATTTCACATTAACACACTTAATAATTCAATCACAACTGGATTTCTGCAGTTATCTGATTACTCAAGTGCTGATGTCAACAGCATACACCTATTTCTTAGATTGGATTAAGGCCTCGAAATCCGCTCAGCTCAGTAATCGGGTGTTTCGTGCATGTGTGCCTTCACTTTGATTTCTTTCGGTTTTCTCAGTCTGTACATGTGTGAAAATAGCAAGCAGAGTTTAAGACCACACCCGTGAGATGGCAAAAACACACTTCTGCAGCGATGTTAAAACCAAATATTTGCTTGATGAAATGAAGAATTTGAATATACTTCATCTTCTAGATCAGGAGTGTCAAACTCTAAAAGAGCCGTATTAAAAAAAGTTCAACAAATTCGTGGGCCAGTGAACTTTTATGTTTATGTTTCATTATTTATATAATGTTTTGCTATAACATGAACTGGCCATGGTTTTTCATTGTATATATTCATAATGCTGAACGAATTTCTGACAAAATCTGATTTTCTGCAGTTATCAGACTATTAGGTGCACATAAACGCACTCAGTGACAGATCTGAGTCACAGATCAACACAAATGTGAATTATCAAATTACAAAAATCAGATCTTATCAATAAAAAAAAACAGAAGTGAGAAATGAGGTTTGTGATGTGAATGTAAACTTACTGTAAATGACGTTACTTTGCCGCTATGAAACACAAGTGCCTTAACAGATCACTGGCATTGGATGGTTATGTGGTGTCAGCCTGAATTCAGATATGGCCATCAAGAAAGAATAAAAAGGGATCGCTGCATGCCAAGTAACTCATCTGGGTTAGCGGAGGCTGGTCAGGAGGGAAAGGAGAAGGAAGAGACGTGCATGATGATTAAGCTTTAGCAGCCTGAATCACTTTACTAGTGGAGCGCCACACAAAGAAACATCTACACAGAAACCCAAGTCATGCCAGTGTGCGTGCGTGTGTGGATCCTTTGTTAGCCCAGACCACCCCCTCCCTCTACATGCACTCACTCACACGTTCACTTTCTGCTCTCTCGCTCTTTCTGTTACATACAGGCCTTCACATACATACACACTCTCACACACACACACACACACACACACACACACACAAACACACACATATAAGTGCAGTTTTAAAATGTTCTAAAAATGCCACCAGAGCAGAAAGATCTTCTCTGTCACTGGCACACACACATGTGTAGCGATACCTCCTCCTGCCCCTCCCCCCATCCCACAATCCTCTCTGCATCTGTCTGCCAATCAAAAGCGCTCGCTCTACTCTACTGGGCAGTTTGGACTCAATAAACCCAGCCCCCACCTCACTTACTATACAGAGTCTTACAGAACTACACACACACACACACACAAACACACACACACACACCGCCTCCAGCTACACACAGCAATGTTTCCAAATAAGCCGTTAGTGATCTGATGAAACTGTCGTTGCCTCTGTCCAATTCATTTATTCACATGACAGGAAATATTGTGAACGCTGAAAAAACACGCTCTGTTGAATTTCTCTGGAAATATCTGTGGTAGCTGAATCTGGGATGCTTCTGGAAGCAACCAGAAGTTGTTATAAGACTTATTCAACCTTGCACTCATTCCAGTGTCAGAGAAGTGTTAAAGAATGCAGGACAAATAAGTTTAATATGATTTTACGTCTCTTAAGGGGGGTTTTGTTGCCTAGTTAAAGTGAATTAAAAAAAAAACACCCTACAAAGAAGATAAACAATTATTTAGTGGTGCTCACTCCAGACTGTGCCACTTCACAGAGAGCTCCAGAGCCTTTAGAAATGACAAAAAGTAAAAGTTTAGTTTAACTAAAAAAAATAATGGAATTCATTTCCTTGGATTACCAACTGTTCTCTGTTCTTGGGGACATTGGATTTCATGGCATATACTGTATGGTTATTTTATGTAATGCATTTTATGGCCCTGCAATGGACTGGCGACCTGTCCAGGGTATTTCCTGCTTTCCACCCAATAACCACTGGGATAGGCTCCTCTGCGACTCAGAAGGATGAGTGGCTTAGATAATGTGTACCTGTGTTTTTATTTCGGTTGTGGTTTTCAACCCATTGTGTCCTGAATTACGGTTTCGGTCAAGGATTTTCATTATAGTTGATTACTAACAAAGTTAATAATTGTACACGATTTTTATATGTTTTACTAGGGGTGGGCAATAGGGCACAAATATATCATTTGAAAATTTGGAACAAAGACACACAAAAAAATACTACGAAAACTAAGAATACAGTGATTTTTATTTAATGTTTCAAATTCTGTGTTGCACAAAATCCAATTAAACAGCACTAACAATGCTCTCTTCGGAATGAAACATGCAGTCGGTGCCTTTAAGCACTGACGATATACACAATATGCTCAGTGAGGCAGACTGTGACTTAATCATTTGTAACGCTAGCAACAAAATATAATTATATTGTCCATCATAAGGACTTTTGTTTTGCAATGTGTCCATTCTATATCAAACCTCAGAAAAACAAAATGTTGTGATACATAAAATGTATCATCAAAATGTCATGATGTTATATTTTTGCCATATTGCGCACCACTAATAGTGTCTAACTTTCTGTACATGATGTTACATTGCTATATTGCACAAGAACCTTAATACACAGTGATGTGTCCAAAGAAGCTGTTAGTGATCTGATGAAACGGTCGCTGCCTCTGTCTGACTCATCTATTCATATTCGCATAATGGGAAAAAAACGCTGTTAAATTTCTTTGGCAATATCTGTGGTAGCTGGGTCTGTGATGCTTCTGAAAGCAACAAGACGCTTTGATAAGATTTATTTGACCTTGTACTCAATTTAGTTTCAGATAAGTGTTAAAGTAACGCAGGAGAAATAAGTTTAATATGACGTTAACCCCAAAACCCTAAAAGGTTTTGAATGAGTAGACAGAGTGTCAATAAAATGTTATCAAAGAAAATATCCTACAAAAGCAGCTATTTCAGGCAAGTTTATCCTGCTAAAGAAACCCTTACTTTTAGTGAATAAACAGAAATTCTGCTGACTAATATATGTGAGAGGCAAATATTGAATATGTCTACAACACAGAGAGTTTATTCGCCCTCTTGTGGTCATGGTTATTGATATCTAGGCTGAAATCAAAAATGCTTTTTCCACAGGCCAATACAGATTAAAGCTCATGATGCAGAGGGGCAAAGCTCACATAAAGAGCACAAAGTGTTATTGTAACGCAGACAAATCTGCTGAGAACTCACAAGGCCCTGGGACAATGTGACGAGAGAGAGAGAGAGAGAGAGAGAGAGAGAGAGAGAGAGAGAGAGATATAGAGAGAGAGAGAGAGAGAGAGAGAGAGAGAGAGAGAGAGAGAGAGAAGAGAGGGAGGGAGAGAGAGAGAGAGAGAGAGAGAGGAGAGAGAGAGAGAGAGAGAGAGAGAGAGAGAGGAGAGGGAGAGAGAGAGAGAGAGAGAGATCAAAACCACACTGTATGTCCAAAAGTTTGTAGACACTTGTTCACTCTTCAAGGATATTAACAGGAGTTTGTCCCCTTTTTCCTGCAACAACAGTCGGTACTCGTCTGTGAAGGCTTTACACTAGATGTTGGAACATCGCTGTGAGGATTTCACTGCATTCAGTCACAAGAGCATAAGTGAGGTCAGGTACTGATGCTGGAGGATTAGTTCTGGATCACTGAAATTACTGAAAGGAGGACCATCACTCCAGACACTGCTAGCTGTCTTGACGGAGTATGGTGACCTTATCCTCATGTGCGTCAGCTCCAGTCTCATTTCATTCGCAGTGCTTTTCTATAGAGATTGTACAATTGAATGCCCGTGTCAGCAATATAAGGAATGTCTGGATACTTTTGG